AAATGTACTAGAATAAATTATCACTATATTAGCAGAAGCCTTGAGGTTTCTTTTGTTTCCTCATTGATTTGATTTTATAATTGGAATTTCTTTGTATAAATAAGAACAGAATCGGTGAGTATTATAGACTCTAAATGTTAACTGTACGAATAAGCTTCTTAGGTTGAAGACTTTGGTGAACTTGTTCTCCTGTGGTGCTCCAGAGCGCAGGTGGAACATCGGCCAGGTATATGTGTAGTAGTTGCACTTGAACGTTGGTGAAATTCATCTGGCCTTGAACTGAATCTTCTGTCGCTTACATGTATATTTCTTCACCACAGGAAACCTTTCTTTTAAAGGTCGAAGAGTTTTAGAATGTGTTGACCAGACCACACACTAGAAGGTGAAGGGACGACGACGTTTCGGTCCGTCCTGGACCATTCACAAGTCGATTGTGAGTGGTCCAGGACGGACTGAAACGTCGTCGTCCCTTCACCTTCTAGTGTGTGTGGTCTGGTCAACATTCTTCAGCCACGTTATTGTCACTCATCGCCTACAGTTTTAAAATGTTTTTGAATTTTCTCTTGCTTCCAGTTATTTATTGCTCACACTCCTTTCTTTGCTCCAGGAACCCGAAAGATAACTTGTTTCGAGCCGAGTACAGTACTCGAGCTTCCTGGTGGTCGGGTGAGCCGGGTCCCTTGATGCGCCTCCTATCGTGTCGTCCCGAAGTGGTCTCTCTCTCTCTCGTTCATGTGTAAAACTGTGTATTGACTTAGCTCTAACCTCTTCATCTAACCCATATTATTTATGTATAACTTATGCTGAGGAAGTTTTTTGAGGCCTCTATGTGACACATGTGTCTCTCGAGTGTCCAGCTGTATCTCGAGTGTCCAGCTGTATCTCGAGTGTCCAGCTGTATCTCGAGTGTCCAGCTGTGTCTCGAGTGTCCAGCTGTGTCTCGAGTGTCCAGCTGTGTCTCGAGTGTCCAGCTGTGTCTCGAGTGTCCAACTATGTCTCGAGTGTCCAGCTATGTCTCGAGTGTCCAGCTGTGTCTCGAGTGTCCAGCTATGTCTCGAGTGTCCAGCTGTGTCTCGAGTGTCCAGCTGTGTCTCGAGTGTCCAGCTGTATCTCGAGTGTCCAGCTATGTCTCGAGTGTCCAGCTGTGTCTCGAGTGTCCAGCTGTATCTCGAGTGTCCAGCTATGTCTCGAGTGTCCAGCTGTGTCTCGAGTGTCCAGCTGTGTCTCGAGTGTCCAGCTGTGTCTCGAGTGTCCAGCTATGTCTCGAGTGTCCAGCTGTGTCTCGAATGTCCAACTGTGTCTCGAGTGTCCAGCTGTGTCTCGAATGTCCAACTGTGTCTCGAATGTCCAGCTGTGTCTCGAGTGTCCAACTGTGTCTCGAGTGTCCAGCTGTGTCTCGAGTGTCCAACTGTGTCTCGAATGTCCAACTGTGTCTCGAGTGTCCAGCTGTGTCTCGAGTGTCCAGCTGTGTCTCGAATGTCCAACTGTGTCTCGAGTGTCCAGCTGTGTCTCGAGTGTCCAGCTGTGTCTCGAGTGTCCAGCTGTGTCCTGTATTAAGCTCTTTCTCCCTTTGAAAATTGCTTCTTTGTTTACTTTGCCGAATATCGTTAAAATCTTATATGTCGTCATCATGTCCCTCTCTATACTTCCAGTGTGTATAGAGGAGACGGGTATAGTATAGAATATAGTATACTCTATAGTCTATACCTCCAGTGTGGTGAGGTGAGGGTTCCCCTCAATCTGTCCTCGAGGTCCTTCAGCTCAGGAACGAGCCTTGCTGCATATCTTCGGACCCCTTTCCTGTTTGTGTATTTGTTCAGGTGGCGGTGCTATGCCGGGTCTGCATACTCAGTAGTAGATCTAACATAGATTCTATATATATAACATGCAAGGCTCATTTGTCCAAGTTCCTGAAGGCTATGAGGATGATGGGTGCTTCATCACATGTGTCGCTGATGATATTCTGCTCATGTGTGCCTCTGGCATTAGGGTTTGGGTCGGAAGGTGTCTGTTATGGTGCATGGCTGGGGACGGTGTTTACAAAGTACATGGCCGGGGACGGTGTTTACAAAGTACATGGCTGGGGACGGTGTTTACAAAGTACATGGCCGGGGACGGTGTTTACAAAGTACATGGCTGGGGACGGTGTTTACAAAGTACATGGCTGGGGACGGTGTTTACAAAGTACATGGCCGGGGACGGTGTTTACAAAGTACATGGCTGGGGACGGTGTTTACAAAGTACATGGCCGGGGACGGTGTTTACAAAGTACATGGCTGGGACGGTGTTTACAAAGTACATGGCCGGGGGACGGTGTTTACAAAGTACATGGCTGGGGACGGTGTTTACAAAGTACATGGCCGGGGACGGTGTTTACAAAGTACATGGCTGGGGACGGTGTTTACAAAGTACATGGCCGGGGACGGTGTTTACAAAGTACATGGCCGGGGACGGTGTTTACAAAGTGGGCATGTGGCGTCGAGGGGCTGGGGAACTGACCACAGCCCAACAAGGAAGGTCACCTCAGGCTACCCGGAACTCTGTCCTACGTTACCCTCTCTTGGTCTATCCTTTGTCACCCGGCTAATGGCGATGCCCTACTTCCGCGTCCACACCTGCGTCTACACCAGCGTCCACACCTGCGTTCACACCAGCGTCCACACCAGCGTCCACACCTGCGTCTACACCAGCAGTGAAAGCGAAACAGAGAGACTGATGGACAGAGAGAGTGGGAACTGAGAGACATTGAGAGAGAGAGAGAGAGAGAGAGAGAGAGAGAGAGAGAGAGAGAGAGAGAGAGAGAGAGAGAGAGAGAGAGAGAGAGAGAGAGAGAGAGAGAGAGAGAGAGAGAGAGAGCGAGAGCGAGAGCGAGACAGAGACTGTGGTTTGTCTGACGCAAGACACTTGGGGGGGGGGGGGGGTCCTTTTCCTGTGTGTCCCGTAGAGCAAATATGACAATACCTTGCCTGACAACACCCCCACACATGACAACAAGAGTGACGGCACTCCGGTCCGTTCTGGTCCTAACTTTGATTGTATTTCTCTTAAATGTTTAAATATTCAGACTTTACAGTTTTGTTTGTATTGTTAAACACATTCATCTTACGGAGTAATTAATTTCATATATTCAAGCGTACAAACGTTTGACAAATATGATTACATTATATATCTGGTTAAGTACGTTGGGACACACTAAATATTGGTGGGGGTTGAGAGGATTAAAGCAGTGTTGTGTAAGGGAGGTCATCACTGTACAGCTGCAGCCACTCTGAGATGATGCACCCATCTAGGTCACCCACCTGCCGGAAGCAGGTGGGTGACCCACACTGCTCCGGAGATAAGGATGCGCGGATGTTTTGACCACTAGTTTGGTGGTCGGGAGTCCTGCAGGTGGGAGGGACGAGGTACTGCAGGTGGGAGGGACGAGGTACTGCAGGTGGGAGGGACGAGGTACTGCAGGTGGGAGGGACGAGGTACTGCAGGTGGGAGGGACGAGGTACTGCAGGTGGGAGGGACGAGGTACTGCAGGTGGGAGGGACGAGGTACTGCAGGTGGGAGGGACGAGGTACTGCAGGTGGGAGGGACGAGGTACTGCAGGTGGGAGGGACGAGGTACTGCAGGTGGGAGGGACGAGGTACTGCAGGTGGGAGGGACGAGGTACTGCAGGTGGGAGGGACGAGGTACTGCAGGTGGGAGGGACGAGGTACTGCAGGTACTGACTTAACTTACATTCTTAACATTGTACTGAAATAAATTTGATCATATATAAAACATAAATCCGAGGAAGTAACTTGAAATATAACATAATATGGATGCACGCAGCTGAAGAATACAAGTACCCACTATCATGCCTGTAAAGAGTGACCCACTTTTTGTGTGTGTTAAATATACATAAAAAAACGAAGCAGAAGATTGATGTTGTTTGTTGTTTAAGATTCGCTACCTGGAACAAAAAGTTCCAGGTAGCACGGGCTATGGCGAGCCCGTAGAGTTCCAGAAGATTGAGTCTGGGGGAGAATATATGTGGAAGGTTGTGGCTGGCGTCAGTGAGGTGCCCCAGGACGAGCAGGGGTAAGCTAGAGTCTTGACCTTCACACAGTGAGCAGAGAGGGAGAGTTGGACGGCCGGGTACACACACACACACACACACCTCACCTTCCTGGAAGTCTTCCTGGCGTCGCTACCAGTACCTTCCGACCTTGAGATGATTTCGGGGTTCAACGCCCCCGCGGCCCGGTCCTCGAGCAGGCCTCACGTCTGAGAGTTAAGATATATATATCAGGGGCAATGCTATACCTATTCTCTCCTCGTGTTATAGATGGTAATAAGAGGTTATCGAGACCTTGCAAACAAGGAGTGAAACCAATACGTTAATGTTGTCAGTGAAGTTGAGATCAGTTTAGATTTCGTGGAGTTGCTATCTGATATATTTATACTCATGAGTCATTTCAATTATCCTTACATGAGAATTCTGGGTAGAGGACCACGGTAAACTTAACAGCATTCCTGTTGATGACAAGACCACACACTAGAATGTGAAGGAACGACGACGTTTCGGTCCGTCCTGGACCATTCTCAAGTCGATTCCGGGTGCGACTTGAGAATGGTCCAGGACGGACCGAAACGTCGTCGTCCCTTCACATTCTAGTGTGTGGCCTTGTCATCATACTTTAACCACGTTATTGTGACTCATCGCCAGCATTCCTGTTCCCGACAGTGAGAAAACCAAGTATATTCAGAGAAAAGCAATGAGCTCATTTCACACAATCTTGGCAGACCTACGTTGTGTGGAATGTGTACTGGTGATGTCACTTCCTGAGGTGGAGCGGCCCCGCACTGGGGGACAAGCCCTCGCATGACAAACATTGACTTCCTTTGTTCGCCATACTTCAGTACCCGCCAGTGTTTGTTTATACTTGTTGGTGTCTTAATATCTCAGCTTCCTCCTTTTGCTGCGTTGACAGCCCTTGGAATTGTTATTTTGTATCAATAAAGTAACATTAAGGGCGGCAACGCTTGCAACTAGGCTCAACGGCTCTTTGTGTTTTGGGTTTGTCTTTTGCAGGTGGAGCAGCATACTGTGAGTCCGGGGATCCGTGAGTCCGGGGATCCGTGAGTCCGGGCATCCGTGAGTCCGGGCATCCGTGAGTCCGGGCATCCGTGAGTCCGGGGATCCGTGAGTCCGGGGATCCGTGAGTCCGGGGATCCGTGAGTCCAGGCATCCGTGAGTCCAGGGATCCGTGAGTCCGGGGATCCGTGAGTCCAGGGATCCGTGAGTCCGGGGATCCGTGAGTCCGGGGATCCGTGAGTCCGGGCATCCGTGAGTCCGGGCATCCGTGAGTCCGGACATCCGTGAGTCCAGGGATCCGTGAGTCCGGGGATCCGTGAGTCCAGGCATCCGTGAGTCCAGGGATCCGTGAGTCCGGGGATCCTTGAGTCCAGGGATCCGTGAGTCCGGGCATCCGTGAGTCCGGGCATCCGTGAGTCCGGGCATCCGTGAGTCCGGGCATCCGTGAGTCCGGGCATCCGTGAGTCCGGGCATCCGTGAGTCCGGGGATCCGTGAGTCCGGGCATCCGTGAGTCCAGGGATCCGTGAGTCCAGGGATCCGTGAGTCCGGGCATCCGTGAGTCCGGGGATCCGTGAGTCCGGGGATCCGTGAGTCCGGGGATCCGTGAGTCCAGGGATCCGTGAGTCCGGGCATCCGTGAGTCCGGGCATCCGTGAGTCCGGGCATCCGTGAGTCCGGACATCCGTGAGTCCGGGCATCCGTGAGTCATATGTTCGACAGTTCAATCATGGCCACATCTTAGCGGGGTCGGAAGTCAGTACATTATTAGATTAGACAACCGACAAGTGGAAGACGGGGTCCAAGAGCTAACTTCTCTATCTTGCAGGCACAAATAATAAATAGTAAAATCCACATGATCCTCTGCTTAAATTGATGGCAAACTGGATTTTGTAATAAAATAGTCTAAGTCCACACGAACAGTGAAACTTAAAAACTAGATAGGAAAGTAATAATAATAATAATAATATTAGTAATAATAATAATAATAATAATAATAATAATAATAATAATAATAATAATGAGAAAATCAGTAGGAACCATGAGGAGGATTCGAACCTGCACACTGAAAAGTCCCAAAGCACATGCTTTAAACCACTGGGTCACGACGTGCTGAAAAGTAATGTAACCTGGGATTCAGCTGAATCTTCTAGGGCGGCTTCTGAGGTATCTTCTGATACCTGATACCGTATTATGATTTTACACATTACCCCTCCCCCCCCCCTCCTCTCTCTCTCTCTCTCTCTCTCTCTCTCTCTCTCTCTCTCTCTCTCTCTCTCTCTCTCTCTCTCTCTCTCTCTCTCTCTCTCTCTCTCTCTCTCTCTCTCTCTCTCTCTCTCTCTCTCTCTCTCTCTCTCTCATTAATGCTCCAGACTCCGTGTAATTAGCGCCACAGTGGCACTAACGTAATATAGTAAAAACTACATAGTCCTAAAACTATTTTACATAGGCCTTAAAAAATTAAACAACATGTTTCTACAAAACAGAACATAGGCTCGTTCTCTAGATTCGCCACTCCGTAACAAATGCAACTGTTTCGCCTAACCAGAAACGTACAAGCCAAAGTAAATCGTCTAACCTACCAAGGCAGCTGCATAGAAAACGTCAGCTTTGTGGTGCATTACTACCTACTAATCCGTCCCATTGTCAACGGATTGGTCGATTCCGTAATAAAAAAAACACACGAGACCTGAGAACATAAAAAATAAAGGCCACTGCAGAAGGCTTACTGAACCACACGAGCCAACTCCTATTTATATCCACCCAAACTCAAGCACCCATATGTCTAACCTTCGCTTGAAACAATCCAGTCATCCCGCGTCTGTTATAATACCCGGTATAATTGCCTCCAGAATTCAATAACCCTTTTTCCCGAAGAAGTATTAATCTAGGTTTTTTCTGCATCTGATTTTTTTACAATTTTTATCCATTGTTATATATATATATATATATATATATATATATATATATATATATATATATATATATATATATATATATATATATATATATATATATATATATATATATATATGTCGTACCTAGTAGCCAGAACGCACTTCTCAGCCTACTATGCAAGGCCAAATTTGCCTAATAAGCCAAGTTTTCCTGAAATAATATATTTTCTCTAATTTTTTTCTTATGAAATGATAAAGCTACCCATTTCATTATGTATGAGGTCAATTTTTTTTATTGGAGTTAAAATTAACGTAGATATATGACCGAACCTAACCAACCCTACCTAACCTAACCTAACCTAACCTAACCTATCTTCATAGGTTAGGTTAGGTTAGGTTAGGTAGCCGAAAAAGTTAGGTTAGGTTAGGTTAGGTAGGTTAGGTACTCGAAAAACAATTAATTCATGAAAACTTAGCTTATTAGGCAAATCAGGCCTTGAATAGTAGGCTGAGAAGTGCGTTCTGGCTACTAGGTACGACATATATATATATATATATATATATATATATATATATATATATATATATATATATATATATATATATATAAGTCATATATATATACAAGTCATTTTCAAAGACTTTAGTCTTTGAAAATGTAATAAGTTTTACGAAACGCGCTCAAGTGTCGCGTCAGACTAGAAATAAAAATGAATTTTGGAGAATCGATTTTTGAATTACCACCAACAGTGAAAAGAAACGTACGAAAGATCGAGAAAATTCGTGTTAGAATTATTAATCTTACTTTTTCGGTCATATTTAATAATATATGTCTACAGGAAAGACTGCTACCAAAATATACTAATATATATATATATATATATATATATATATATATATATATATATATATATATATATATATATATATATATATATATGACAATGTCAGACCACGAAGGAAAAATGAAACAGGAAATTTCCTTAAGTACTTTCGTATATTAAATACATCTTCAGAAGGTCCAAATATATACGAAAGTACTTTAATATACGAAAGTACTTAAGGAAATTTCCTGTTTCATTTTTCCTTCGTGGTCTGACATTGTCACATTCTTAATCACGTGTTTATTTTCGTGATATACACACACATATATATATATATATATATATATATATATATATATATATATATATATATATTTAAACTCGTATTTATTAAATATCTTCAATGATGTCTGGTTTCACTCCTCGGGTTTCTCGAAAATGTAAATATAGATTATTAATATCTTTCTTGACAAGGGATCAACCAAGGGATCAAGTTATATATTTAAGCAAGTTATTTAAGCTACTCGTCTTCCGGGCTCACTATAGCCGGTGCTACATGGAAATTTCTTTCCGAGTAGCTAAATCTAAAACAACAACAACAACAGCTAGTCGTCAGGAAGGTAGAGGGCACAAAAGTGTTAATAATGAGTTATAATAATAAGCCTTCATCACTAGTCACGATGGCTTGCTGACTGAACACCCTGCTGGAATACCGAGCTCGGAGCCACGTCTCCGTCACCGCCCCCAGCAAGGCCGCCACCAAGCAGGGGCATCACCAACACCATTACCCCCGGCAAGGCCACCAGGGGGAATCTCTCACCATCACCCCTGGCAGGGTCACTGGAAGCGTCCCCCCCATCAACCGGACAACTTCCCAGAGACATCCAGAGCACCACCATCACCGCCTCCGGCAAGGCCTCCTGCAGCGTCCTCGTCAACCTGGGATGGCGTGTTAGAATACTGGATGAGTATTTACTGTGGGCACGAGGCAGGAAGACAGAATATGGCGAGAATTTCCTGTGTACAAGGAAATTTAGAAGACCAGGTGAGCCTTTATTATGGGCGGGTAGACTAAGCGACCTTTTCCTATGGAAGGCATTGTGAGCTTCTACTTTGTACAGGAAGGTAATATGAGCTTTCACTATGTGTAGGACGACAAGGTGAGCCTTTACTAATGGACAGGAATACGGTGAGGCTTTACTATGGACAGGGCATTAGTGTGAGTCTTTAGTGTGGACAGGAGAACAGCAGAAATACAGAGCTCTTGTTGTCGACCGGATGCAAGACAGCAAAATCCTTTGTGTTCAAAAACGCAGACTGAAGACAGAACATTTTATTATTGAACATAGTGTTAGACTGTAATAAACCGTTGCTTCAAGTAGAAGTCTTACACGAGCGTGTTGCGGAACGTTTGTCTCCTTTGTTTTTGTCTTTCTAAGGCTGCAAGATTCCGAGTCATACTGAGGACCTGCGCAGAGGAAGGTGGCTATTACCCCGGCGAGGAAGCCAGGAACGGCGTCTCATAGGAACGTCTTTTCTTATTATTTGCCGCCAGGACGTTTACCCTCCGTTAACAGTGCTTGTAATTATGATCCCCCCCTCTCTTTGTGGGCGGGGGGTGGGGGGTGGGGAGGGCAGCAGGTGTGGGCTGGTGTGTGTCACCGGGAGTGTGACCCCCACTGTGTGTGTAGGACCAGGTGTGGTGTCGTGTGTGACGCCTTCTCTGTTTTGTGTAGGATCTGGTGTAGAGAGAGTTCTTTATGAGCAAGTTGACAGACATCTTATTCTTGGGATGGAACGGAATGGTGCCCGAATGATGCCCAACAACTTGGGCTGGACGGTAAAGCGACGGTCTCCCTTCATGCAGGTCGGCGTTCAATCCCCGACCGTTCAAGGGGTTGGGCACCATTCCTTCCCCCCCTGTTCCATCCCCAAATTCCTCATCCTGATCCCTTCCCAGTGCTACATAGTCGTAATGGCTTGGCGCTAATAGTTCCCTTCCCTTGTAATATATGGTAATATACCGTTTAGTGTTAGTAGGGGGTCAGGATTCGTTCCTCCGTTGAAAATAAGTTCACGTAGAAGAGGGTTGACATCCTTATTGGTTGCTTGACGGGTCAACTTCCGTTTAATGCCTTCTCCCACACAACTGCTGTTGACAGGATCTCACTCTACCGAGGACCTCGTCAACTTGGGTTGTCTACACATCCTGAAGGAGCTGAGGAAGAACCCGGTCACTGTGCCTCTTATCGTTACACTCTCACGGTGACAGTAACAGTGAACGGGGCCGTTTGTGTAAGTTGGTTGACTGATGACTGTGAACTTGAGCCTATGTTCGTATATAAGTGTGTCAGGGAAGGTAACAGAGTCATTTCTTTATATTTGTAATGTAAACTGTATAGTAGTAGAGATTATACTTGAGAAGTCTTCCTAGAGTTGTGTAGGTGTGCTCAGCGCGGTGCGGGTGGTGGCCAGGACACTCATCACAGCCAAATCAGATTTATATTGTTAGTTAGATGCTAACAATATAAATCTGTGTTTAATCCTAGCCAAATCAAATTTATATTGTTAGTTTATTTTCTACCATAGACTTGACCATACTAAACAATATGTTTACATTTTCTTCCGTCCTCCATGGTTAGGGCTAGAGATGTGTCAGACAACATATTGTGTGGTGAGGTATTGAGCACTCAGCCACAGGTGAGTGAATGCTTTTACAATGATAATAACCAGCATGCCGTCACGTCTGTCTTACATAGACGGGGTTAGAGATCCGTGCTCCAGTATATAGTGCAGTGGGGTATTGAGCACTCAACCCAGTCAGTCGCCGTCTTCAGCCTTTGCTTGTCCTGACGGCGGCATATGCCAGGTTGGCCAACATAAGAACTGCATTCAGAAACGTGTGCAAGGAATCGTTTAAAGTCTTTTATACCACATATGTGTAACCATTCCTGGAGAACGCA